CCACACCCCTCACCCAGCCACACCCCTCACTCAGCCACACCCCTCACTCAGCCACACCCCTCACTCACCCCACCCAGCCAACACCCTCACCCAGCCACACCCCTCACATCAGCCACACCCGCACCAGCCACACCCCTCACCCAGCCACCCCCTCACCCAGCCACACCCCTCACTCAGCCACACCCCTCACCAGCCACCCCTCACTCAGCCACACCCCTCACTCACCCCTCACCCAGCCACACCCCTCACCCAGCCACACCCCTCACCCAGCCACACCCCTCACCAGCCACACCCCTCACTCAGCCACACCCCGCACCCAGCCACACCCTCACCCAGCCACACCCCTCACTCACCCTCCCCAGCCACACCCCTCACCCAGCCACACCCCTCACCCAGCCACACCCCTCATCCAGCCACACCTCTCACTCAGCCACACCCCTCACCCAGCCACACCCCTCACTCAGCCACACCCTCACCCAGCCACACCCCTCACCCAGCACCCCTCACGCAGCCACACCCCTCACCCAGCCACACCCCTCACTCACCCATCACCCAGCCACACCCCTCACCCAGCCACACCCCTCACCCAGCCACACCCTCACCCAGCCACCCCCTCACTCACCCCTCACCCAGCCACACCCCTCACTCAGCCACACCCCTCACTCAGCCACACCCCTCACTCAGCCACACCCCGCACCCAGCCACACCCCTCACCCAGCCACACCCCTCATTCAGCCACAACCTCACTCAGCCACACCCCTCACTCAGCCACACCCCTCACTCACCCAGCCACACCCCTCACTCAGCCACACCCCTCACTCACCCAGCCACACCCCTCACTCAGCCACACCCCTCACTCACCCCTCACCCAGCCACCCCTTACTCAGCCACACCCCTCACCCAGCCACACCCTCATTCAGCCACACCCCTCACTCAGCCACACCCCTCACTCACCCCTCACCCAGCCACACCCCTCACCAGCCACACCCTCCCCAGCCACACCCCTCACTCACCCTCCCCGGACAACCCCTCACCCAGCCACACCCCTCACCCAGCCACCCCTCACTCAGCCACACCCCTCACCCAGCCACACCCCTCACCCAGCACCCCTCAAACCAGCCACACCCTCACCCGGCCACACCCTCACTCAGCCACACCCTCACCAGCCACACCCCTCACTCAACCCTCACTCAGCCACACCCCCTCACCCAGCCACACCCTCACTCACCCCTCACCCAGCCACACCCCTCACTCAGCCACACCCCTCTCTCAGCGACACCCCCTCACTCAGCCACACCCCTCACCCAGCCACACCCCTCACCCAGCCACACCCCTCACCCCAGCCACACCCCTCACTCAGCCACACCCCTCACCCAGCCACTCCCCTCACCCAGCCACACCCCTCAACCAGCCACCCCCTCAACCAGCACACCCCCTCAACCAGCCACACCCCTCACCCAGCCACTCCCCTCACCCAGCCACTCCCCTCACCCAGCCACACCCCTCACTCAGCCACACCCCTCACCCAGTCACACCCCTCACCCAGCCACACCCCTCACTCACCCCTCACCCAGCCACACCCCTCACTCAGCCACACCCCTCACCCAGCCACACCCCTCACCCGCCACACCCGCACCCAGCCACACCCCTCACCCAGCCACACCCCTCACTCACCCCCTCACCCAGCCACCAACCACCTCACCAGCCACACCCCTCACCCAGCCCACCCCCTCACTCAGCCACCACCCCTCACTCAGCCACACCCCTCACTCCACCCCTCACCCAGCCACACCCCTCACCCAGCCACACCCCTCACTCAGCCACACCCGCACTCAGCCACACCCCTCACCCCAGCCACACCCCTCAATCACCCCTCACCCAGCCACATCCCCTCACCCAGCCCACCCTTCACCCAGCCACACCCCTCACCCAGCCACACCCCTCACTCAGCCACACCCTGCACCCAGCCACACCCCTCACCCCAGCCACACCCTCACTCACCCCTCACCCAGCAGCACCCCTCACCCAGCCACACCCCTCACCAAAGCACAACCCCTCACCCAGCCACACCCCTCACTCAGCCCAACCCCTCACCCAGCCACACCCCTCACGTCCCCCACCCCAGCCCACCCCTCACCCAGCCGCACCCCTCACTCTGCCACACCCCTCACCCTGCCACACCTCACTCAGCCACACCCCTCACCCAGCCACACCCCTCAACCAGCCACACCCTCTCTCAGCACACCCTTCACCCAGCCACACCCCTCACCCAGCCACACCCCTCACTCACCCCTCACCCAGCCACACCCCTCACCCAGCCACACCCCTCACCCAGCCACAACCCCTCACTCACCCCTCACCCAGCCACACCCTCATCCAGCCACACCCCTCACCCAGCCACACCCCTCACCCAGCCACACCCCTCACTCACCCCTCACCCAGCCACACCCCTCACCCAGCCACACCCCCTCACTACGGCCACACCCTCACCCAGCCACACCCCTCACTCAGCACACCCCTCACCCAGCCACACCCCTCACCCAGCCACCCCCTCACTCACCCCTCACCCAGCCACACCCCTCAACCAGCCACACCCCTCACTCAGCCACACCCTTCACCCAGCCACACCCCTCACCCAGCCACACCCCTCACTCACCCCTCACCCAGCCACACCCCTCACCCAGCCACACCCCTCACTCAGCCACACCCCTCACCCAGCCACACCCCTCACCCAGCCACACCCCTCACCCAGCCACACCCCTCACTAACCCATCACCCAGCCACACCCCTCACCCGGCCACACCCCTCACCCAGCCACAACCCCTCACCCAGCACCACCCCTCGCTCACCCTCACCCAGCCACACCCCTCACTCAGCCACACCCCTCACTCAGCCACACCCCGCACCCAGCCACACCCCGCACCCAGCCACACCCCTCACTCAGCCACACCCCTCACCCAGCCACACCCCCTCACCCAGCCACACCCCTCACTCAGCCACACCCCTCACTCACCCAGCCACACCCCTCACTCAGCCACACCCCTCACTCACCCCTCACCCAGCCACACCCCTCACTCAGACCACACCCCTCACCCAGCCACACCCCTCATTCAGCCACACCCTCACTCAGCCACACCCCTCACTCACCCCTCACCCAGCCACACCACTCACCCCAGCCACACCCCTCACTCACCCCTCACCAGCCACACCCCTCACTCAGCCACACCCCTCACTCACCCCTCACCCAGCCACCCCTCACCCAGCCACACCCTCACCCAGCCAACACCCCTCACCCAGCCACACCCCTCACTCAGCCACACCCGCACCCAGCCACACCCCTCACCCAGCCACACCCCTCACTCACCCCTCACCCAGCCACACCCCTCACCCAGCCACACCCCTCACCCAGCCACACCCCTCATCCAGCCACACCTCTCACTCAGCCACACCCCTCACCCAGCCACACCCCTCACTCACCCCTCACCCAGCCACACCCCTCACTCATGCCACACCCCTCACCCAGCCACACCCCTCACCCAGCCACACCCCTCACCCACCCACACCCCTCACCCAGCACACCCCTCACTCACCCATCACCCAGCCACACCCCTCACCCAGCCACACCCCTCACCCAGCCACACCCCTCACCCAGCCACACCCCTCACTCACCCCTCACCCAGCCGCACCCCTCACTCAGCCACACCCCTCACTCAGCCACACCCCTCACTCAGCCAACCCCGCACCCAGCCACACCCCTCACCCAGCCACACCCCTCATTCAGCCACACCCCTCACTCAGCCACACCCCTCACTCACACAGCCACACCCTCACTCAGCCACACCCCTCACTCACCCAGCCACACCCCTCACTCAGCCACACCCCTCCTCACCCCTCACCAGGCCACACCCCTCACTCAGCCACACCCCTCACCCCAGCCACACCCCTCACTCATGCCACACCCCCTCACTCAGCACACCCCTCACTCACCCTCACCCAGCCACACCCCTCACCCAGCCACACCCCTCACTCACCCCTCACCAGCCACACCCTCATCCAGCCACACCCCTCACCCAGCCACACCCCTCACCCAGCCACACCCCTCACCCCAGCCACACCCCTCACCCAGCCACACCCCCTCACTCAGCCACATCCCCCGTTTCATTGACCTGCCCTCCATCCTGCAAATATGTCAACAGCCATCACAATGCTTTTCCTGATTGCCTTCTTGAAAAAAAAATATATAACTGTGAAACTCCAAGTTGCTTAACCCTATCCCCGCGTGCGTCCCTCCACGCTGCGTGTGGGTGATTAATCCTTGCGTGGGTCGATGTGGCGACGCAGTTCCCACAATTGTGCCGTCGAAGATCGGCGGAGGCGGGGGCGTCCATCGGGAGCTCACCATCACGTGGAAGGTGCGCGGCTCGTGCGGCCCCACCCTCCCCCCTCGCCCTCCCCCCTCGCCCGAGCCCGGCTGCCCCCCGGGTCTCCCCTCTGCTTGTGCCGCTCGAAGTTTGTGTGCCGCATTCCTCCAGCGCTGTCGTCGTTGTCGCTGCGCCCGCGAGACGACACAGAGCAGAGGAAACCCTTCTCGCTCGACAACAGCCAACATAAGTGGATATAGCAGAGCTACCTCTGAGAGCCCTCCCGGTGATCCTCTTCTCCACACCGTGGAGAACAGCGCTTGCCCACCTGCTCTCTATATCACAGTCATGTTAATTGCACGACAGAGCTGCAATTCAGCTTAATTGCGAGCAACGGCTTATTCAAAGCGATGGTTTTCTCGTGACGAGGCTGAAGCCATCAAGTCGCTTCACCCGGCGGTTTGAGTCGCGGGCGGCTGCCTCGATGGGAGCCCAGCATCTCATCGGTGCCGGCTCAACGCTCTGACCTCTGGGCCACCCGGCCGCCCCGCTGCTGTCATCGTGTCAACGCGTCAAGCGGCCGGCGCGTTGCATATCACCGATTTGGCCTCCTGCTACCTTCATCCGTTTTCCTGCGACCAATGTGCAGCTGTCGACCGCTGCGGTGTGACGAGGCGTTCTCTGTTCTCCGTGCCGTGGGTGTGTTCGGCATGCTTCTTGTTGGAGCACCACGACGCAGTAGTGGCTAGAAATCATGCAGTAGTGGCTAGAAATAAGGCAGTAGTGGCTAGAAATCAGGCAGTAGTGGCTAGAAATCAGGCAGTAGTGGCTAGAACACTCGTGTGAACTTTCACGTGCAACGTTCGATTCATCTTAATCCTGAAGGCATCTAGCGGGGTGTTGGGTCCTGTAGTAATACCTGCATTTTCATTCCTGTGTATTCCTGAAGAATGTCGACTTCATCTTTACTCCCACGTGCCTGCAAGCAACGCTGAACTTGCTATCAGGGCACAACTCCTTGACAAACTCGCCATGAGCCAGGAGTGCAAATTCGACATTCCTATGGCAGGGTCTATCTCTAGGATGACCACTGATTGCAAAAAACATTTCCGAGAGGAATTTTACGTCTGGATCAACCCCTGGCCAGTATTTTTACTGTAGCAGTCTCCTGTTTAGAAAGCTGTGCACACCACCACCACCACCACTGCACCACCACTATGCCACCACCACTGCACCATTACCACCACTGCACCACCACCACCACTACACCATCACCACTACACCACCACCACTACACCACCACCACTGCGCCACCACTACCACGTCGCCACTGCTTTCAGGAGTTATTTCAGTGGTTACTTGCTCCGAAAAAAATATTCATCCTCGTTACATCTATGCCTCTTAGAATTAAGAACATTGTGATGGGTATTTGGCTGGACAGCAAGGTCCAGTTGTAAATGCAGGGGCAGCCTGGTCGGCTTCCTCGCTCGGGCGATGATGACACACAACTGTCTCCGCTGCAAGCGGGACATTTCTGTTTGCATTTGGGGATGAGTCCGTGATTACTGCCGCTTGCTCTCAAAACAACTCACCGAGCCCCGGTCCTCCCAATAGAATCTCCGCTGCTGCATTCTCCTAGATGGGGGGTGAGCACGGAATGGGCGCACTTCTGCTATCTCCAAATCAGACTTCCCCAGTTCTGTAAATTGGAAATCCTGGTGGCGGAGCTGTGAAGGGCCTTCTACATTCCCAACTTCGCTTCACAGCCAACGGCCGATACAGAGTTGAGCTCTGCCCCGTTACCCCACCGCAAAAGAGATTAATCCTGGCGGCAAACATCGTCGGAATGAGACTCCGGTCCTATGGGTCCTTCGTGAGCATGCTTCGTTGCTTATAATCGACCCTCCCTCCTGGCTGTCGAGGGCGATGCGTATTTTTATCTATTTAAAATGTAGTTTACAAAGATATTCTGGCCCCTGTCATAGGAATGTAGAATTTCCATCACAACAAGCTCATGGCCAAGACTTGAGATGAACACTGCCCAATACTTGATTGACGCATCGACTCACGCACATCTGTTGAATGTTTACGTACCTCAAGTACTGTACAACGATGAGTCTAAAAACAATCTGCCCGAGCCAGCTTACATCCCATGGAATTAATGATTTAACATTGATTATGTTTGTGCAGTATTTTAGGTTTCCCATGCGACACGGTTGCTTTTGCCCTGATTTCTATTCGCTCTATTGCTATGCTTTATAGTATTTGTTTTGCTGTTGTCACGTTGGTGACCCATGTCACTCTAGAAAACAACGCTCTCCTTGGTCTCTCGAGTTACCACCTGGCCTCGACTCGAACGCCCCTTCTTAACGCCCCCATAGCCAAGCATGAACATGATAAGGCACAATCATCGATTTGCGGTGTGGTGAAGCGGTGCGTGTGCCAGGGACAGCGCGTGAGTGATCGTGCGTACCGGCCTGTGACGTGGCTCAGGCGCGTTTTGCGTGCGGGAACGATGCCATCAATTTCCCCGTAAACCGGTGACACCATCTCGTTGCCGTGTTACGAGCTGGAAAACCGGAGGCTGCTCTCTTGGTGGTTACCTCGGTCCAACCGAGCGAAACCCCGCTGCAGCACGAATCTCTCTTGCAAGGGGAAATGTGGAAGGAAAATACAAAACGTGCAGCGATGATTTTGTAGGATTTCATATTTTATTTACACATTCCATCACCCACAGTGCCTTCTGCGGAGCGCATCATTTCAGCAGCTTTGGTTCAAAACAAGCTGATCTCTGGACCGGTTTTGACATGCAGTGTCTCATCGGCAGAGTCAAGCTTGAACCAATGCTGGCGGACTTCCCAACGTGATCGCCGGAGACTCGCACGAGTCGGTAGCGCTGTGTAGTACCGGCGCCGCCGTGCGTGGGCCGCCCTCCCGTTGACCATGCGCCCCCCCCCCCCCCGCCCCCCCGCCATGCTCCCACAGTCGGTGGAGCAGGAGTACCGCTTTGGCGATAGGTTCACCTACAACATCAGGTTCCGGCCGCTCGACAGCGCGGACAAGGTGTGGACCACGGTGGTGATCGGCGACGCCGACGCGTCGCGCTTCGTCTACAAGAACGCGAGCCTGGAGCCGTACGTGCCCTTCGAGATCCAGATGCAGGCGAGCAACGTCCACGGCGGGGGCCCCTACAGCCAGGTGGTCGTGGTGCACTCCGCCGAGGACGGTGAGCCGGCACGGTGCCCCGCGCGGCTCGCCGCTTCGCGTTCAGAAACGTTACGCAGACCGCAGGAGGAATCTGGTGGGCTTGCGAAGCCTCTTGTTCGCAGGTGTCCAGTAGGGGCGGGCCAGAAAGTCACAGCGACACTTGTCGAGAGGGATTCGCGGTCCGTGCCCGACAGGCCGCACTGGTTAATACTGCCGCCGGTTGCATTAGCCTTGAAATACCCGGAGCCGTCCGGTTGACGGTGGACGTTAAAGATCCCGCGGTGTCGGCTGAAACGAGTCGCCCGTCGCGTGCCGGCATCTTGGTCTGGTGGCCCCAGCTGCCCAGCCCCCGCACGGAGAGCCCCGGCGGGAGACGCCGATGGGATTCTGTGAGTGGGGCCTTGAAACCCCAGGCTCGTTTTGCATTCCCGGTAACCGCATGGACAAATAAAACTGGTCGAATCTGTTCCTGGTTTGGAGCGCATTCATAGATGTGAACAGCAATAAATATTCTTATAGATTTTGTTTAAAGCTTTCGTGACTGCAGGGATTCATATTCTTGGTTCTTTCGGTAAATTCACGTAGAAGGGAAATAATAAAGTAAAAAATATATAAAACAATACAATTCTCACAACGTTTCGACTGCAACACAAGCAATCATCATCAGGTGTGAAATCCACAGCAAGAAAATTTGAAAAAAGTGGCGTTTTTTTCCTCTTAACGTCAGCACCACAGACAGCGATTTGGCAGTTGGTCAGATGGACGAGTCCATCTATGTTCAGAAAAATTTCTTGCTGTGGATTTTACACCTGATGATGATTGCTTGTGTTGCAGTCGAAACGTCGTGATAATTTTATTGTGTTATATTTTCATTTTTTTTTATTATTCCCCTTCTACGTGACTTTACCGAAAGAACCAAGAATACTATTATAGATGTGAACAGCAATAAACATGTTATGCTTTTAACTGAGCAACAAAAGGATCTGCCACGGTGGCATGGCCATCTGCAGCACCGCTCAACTCCATCTCCCGGCGCAGAAGTGCAAGCAATGGGGGGCGAGTTTCTTAAACCTCTCCCAGCCTCTACCCAGCGAGCAGTCCAGCGGTGTAGATGGTGGGTCCACCAGTCTACGATGGCAGGTTGCATTTGGTGGGATACAATGTGGGCACGCTCACTTACAAGACGTCTGGTCATTGAGGAAGAGAAAGCCAAACACCCAAGGGATCTCACTTTAGTGGAGGCCCTTCCTCCAGCGGTGGTGTGAGCAGGCACTTGCACGGCTGCACCTTTGGCGCGGGCGGAGGCGTCCCCAAGTTAATGAGGACGCCGCTGTTCACAGAGCCGGACGTGGCTCCGCGCAGGGCAAGGGCGTTCCCCATCGCTCGCACGGCCTGCGCCGTCAATTACACGGAATTCAAAGTCACCTGGGAGCCCATTCTGCCCAACGCCACCAGCCGGCGAATCGTGGGATACGAGGTAAGGTAAACGCTCGGCTCACCGGATTTCAGATTTCGCATTTAAGTTTGGACGGATGCTGGCTCAATAAAATAAAAAAAAAACCTCTTCAACGCATCCTCTCCCGCGTCACGTAGGCCGTGTGCCTGAAGGGCACGTTCACGGTCACGCTACGCAGATCCGACACGTGGACAATGACAGAGAAGCAGGAAGCGGTGCATGCTGGGAATTACACTGAGAGACAGGCCAGACACTTCGTATTGACTCTAGTGGGGTGGCTATGGAGGTGACTACTACGGTTTATTTAAAACTGTTTATATTCTCTTGGTAAAAACTCTCCAATGAGGTCCGCTCGGAGCGTGTGCACAGCGGTGTCCTCGTTTGTCCCGCGCCATGTCCGGCTCATTGCCCCCCGCGACCCACCGAGGCTCTGTGAGCTCCGCGAGTCTGGTTTCTACCCCTGTGGCTGTGTGCGACGCTCTCTGGTGGCCAGATACGCTACTGGAAATCCACGGACAACCAAGCGGCAGCAGAGAGAGTTCAGACCGAGGTCACCAACAGCGTCATCATCAGAGGTGAGCGGGGCGATTCCGGCTCATCGCCAACACACACTGTACCCACCAGATACTCTGCTGCTTACACCTGCTGAGATTCCCAGGTCTGATGGGCTGGGGTGCATTCCGATCGGTTTCGCGGTCCCATTAAACCACTTCTCATTTGTAGCCGGATTCTCGCCATTAATTTAGCTCTGTGGGTTCACGGCCACTTCAGAAGAAATCTCCGCTGCTGCTGCTGCTGCTGTTGTGTGGCAGCAGCTTTGGCTCGATCCAACCCGAGGCCTCTGTCCCCCCACGCTCCCCGCTCCGAGAGTCGCTATGACCCGGCGACGCCACCGGCCCTCGAGCGTTCCACGCGACGGAGCCGGTCCCCCCGCCTCCTCCCCCTCTCCACTCCCGCTCCAGCGCCAGGCAATCCGACCCGCCGACCCGACGCTCGCTGTGGCCCCTCCTCCAACTTGAGACGTGCGGTGGGGGCGGTGGGGGGGGGGGGGCGATGAAAGAGCGCGACAACCGAATGCGTGGGACTCGAGGCGCGTGGCTCCGTGTGTCGCAGGCCTCGTGCAGAAGACGCTGTACCACGTGGATGTGCGCGGCTACAACACGGGCGGCGTGGGGCCCCCGAGCCCCGTCGCCAGCGTCCACACGAATAAGAACGGTAAAGAGCCCCAGCCACCACGTGAACACTCCGGGCCCAGCGTTACTCGCCCCGCGACGTGGTGCTTAGCACTCGCGCACACAGCGGTGTAACCGCCAGTTTGGAACAAACATCGGAGTGCTGAAAAATTGCCTGCAAACGACACCATTGGGATCACGAATAGGCACAGCAGGAACATCGCTCTCAATTGTGAAAAAAACTTGGCAGGACCCTCCTGAGCGAAGAGCCTTGAGACTCGATCAGGCTTTCCTGAGTGCACGGGCATTGTACTACTAGTAATGAAATAAGGGCTGAATTCACATCTTTGACAAATCGTCAAAACTCTTCACCTTGCCAAAGGTCACACCAAAGTTACATTTACTAAGCCACGATGTGGCCTTCATTAGGTCAATATTGGAATAAAAGTAAGCCCTTTAGCAATCAACTGCTAGATGAAGGCATCACCTGGACCATACTTCACCAGGCTGGAATGCCCGGAACTAGTTCAGATGATCGCTCACCGCTAATCTTAGCCGTAACCGGGTATTGAGCGCAGCTCACGGTGTTCATAGCGCAGTGCGTGAACCACGGCATCACCACTCCCCTCAGATAGGAACACTGGGATCACATTTGGGATCACATTTGGGATTACATTTGGGATGGAGCTCCTGGCACAAACCTGGCTGTGGGAAATCTCTCCGCTTGTCCATGACAACGTCTCTCCTCCCACTGAGGCAGTAGGCCAAGCCCAATTCTAGGCTTGGTGTTCTTGAGTGTTGCTTGGTGGAAACTGCCGAGTGTATTGGCATACAATAGATGTGGTGTGCGACCACTAATGACTGTAGTTATAATGCTCTGCTCCAGTTTGGAAATATAGAATTGAAATGAAATCCCGGTTGGGTGTCACGTAAGCCCCGCCATGATCATCCCTCCTGGGTGTATAAAATCAGTACTGTTTTGTGAGAAACACTAAGTCCATTTCCTCTCCAGAATTGAGTCCCCCCCACAGGAATATGCCAGTGCCACCACTGCATAAGGTCCTCCGCATGTTGAGGCGTGAAGGCGGCTTTCACCGCAGCGAGACAGAGTGGGGACCATCTTCTTGGTTCTTTCGGTAAAGTCACGTAGAATGGAAATAATAAAATAATAAAACATAATAAAGTAAAATAATAATAAAATAATTTTCTTATTTCTTATTTTTTATTAGTATTTTATTATTTCCATTCTACCTGACTTTACCGAAAGAACCAGGAAGATGAATCCCTGCAGTCACGAAAGCTTTAAATCGAGAGTGGGGACCGTTCACGTCTCGTTGGATTGTTGTCCGCAGCTTCAAGCCAGATCCCTGAGGTCAGATACACGTTGAAGGACGACATCGTGACCATTGCCTGGAACCCGATCCACCCTCTGGACGAGTCAGCGGTCATCAAATACCAGGCAGGTCCCACGCGTGCGCACACACACAGAACACCTTGAGAGTATTCACAGTGGGGTCATGGAGCGGACATCAGTTTATATTAGAAATTCTGTTGTCCATGCATTGATGAAGGCCATCCAGGGAGCTTTTGACCGAAATAACAATGACTTAACACGAGTCTCTGGGACAACACGAGTCTCTGAGACAACACGAGTCTCCTCTGGCTCCACTTTTTTGCGGCACCAAAATCCATGTCGGGTGTTTCCAGTCCGTAGTGGTAATGCATGGGACTGGATTCATATTAGAAACAGCAAAACGTTGCTTCAGCATCATTGGCACATTCATGCTCGCACAGAGACTCATAGACAGGCCCGTAGACTGACACAGATACCCATAGACTCACATGGCCATAGACTTACTTACAGGTAGGCCCATAGACTTTACTATCATCAGCGCTTGCTCCACCATACGGGCACAACGCAACTTCGCGGGAGACATGTTTTGCTGGAGCCCATCCCATGATCAACATCATCAACATCATTAACATCATAATTAACATCATCATTAACATCATCAACATCATCAACATCATCATCCCATGATCAACATCATTAACATCATCATCCCATGATCAACATCATCAACATCATCATTAACATCATCAACATAATCAACATAATCAATAACATCAACATCCTCAACATCATCATCCCATGATCAACATCATCAACATCATTAACATCATCAACATCATCAACATAATCAATGACATCAACATCATCATCAAAATCATTATGAACGAGTCTGCCAGCGTTACCATGCATCGCCACCCAAACCATCTCCACGCCACCGATCGGCGTGCCAAGGTGTCTCACCGTGCGTGTCTCCCCGCGGGCCGCAGGTGCGCTACCACCTGAAGGACCGCCCCAAGGGCAAGGTGTACAAGGTGAACACCACCGAGACGATGCTGAAGGTGCGGCTGTTCGCGAAGGACGACTACCTGGTGTCCGTGCAGGCTCTCAGCGCCTCCGGGGAGGGACCCTGCACCGAGCTTTACATCCACCGTAAGAGGCTCCGCACGCGCCGCCCCCTCCGCCCGGCTTGCTCGCTCGTTCGCACGCGGCGCCCGTACTGCTTGACGAAGACGAAGGTCCCCTGTGCAGCCCCCCGATAGATCGCCGGCGCAAGTGCCGCTAGCAGGCACCTGTGAAGGCCGGTACGGCACGCGGGAGATGCGTGGCGAGTGCCGCGCCGGGCCGCCTCTGCCTCCCAGGACTCGTTCAAGATAATTGTCACGGTGGCCGTGAGCGGGAATCGAACTCGGGGACGCCGGGTTTGTGGCTCGGTGCGTTAACCACTACACGCGACCACTGCCAGCAAAGTGTCGCCTTGAAGAAAGGTCAGCCATTGTCTACTGCGTCGAGCCGTAAACTCTGAGATGGCCACCCATGGCACGTACAATACACGCGCAAAGCTTTAACGTTAAATAATGGGTCTTGTTTGCGCAACATGAAACATAAACTGCACAATTCAATTACGCCGCCGGTCAATGTACCCTGAACGATTTGTGTGGGGAGAGAGGCCAGCTGCCTTTCTGGCCTGGGCCAGACCAGCTCCGAGGCTCGTCTCGTCTGCTCTGCGACTCGCATGCGGCGTTCCGTGCTTTTGTGAGTCTCCTTCCGTTGTGCTCCGGTTGCTTTGGCGCTGCAGCTGTTGTACCTCCGCTACTGTGTCCTGTGGCTGTGATGTGCCGTACTCTCAGAACCAGACAACAACCTTGCGGACGAGGAGGCAGTGGCGACGGGTCAGATGGAAGGTCAGTCCAAGTCTAGTGGGCCGACACTTTGAGAGGAGCTCTGTATACTTTGTTATTTCCCATTCTAATGTCTCTCTACCTCTGGACCAACATACACCTTCAATTAGGTCTAATCACAACAAACAACTTGTGATCTTTTTAGTTGTTTATTGACATTATCAGGGGACCTCCTTTGCCAGTACTCTGGTCAAGCACCGTTTTGAGACTCGGCTCAAAAGAAAGCTGACTCTAGTGTGGACCAATCAGTTTCAAAGACAATGCATATATTATCAGAGTATGATTTTTTTGTTTGCAGGCATAATTCCTTGTAAAAGGTTTCAGTTTGGTGTTTTAACATCTTAACACCTGTTTGTTGCCAGAAAAAAAGGGGAAAACCTATTCTCTCATTGACGTTAATTTTAAGTTGTTTTTATTTACAGTCGCGTTTTTAATAACCTACAACGATGCCATCCACAATAGGAACAATACGAGCTATGAGTTGCATTGCATAACAAATAATTGCTTAGTTTAATCCAGGGCAGCATTTCAGCGTGAGAGTTGCACAGTAAGATCACAGCTGTAGGGACCACCCGACGTCTTGTAAACTCTGCAGGAACCTCAGCCGCAGCTCCCATAGCGATCGCTTCAGCGGCGGCCTCTCCAGCATCACGGCCCCCGCAGTAGCTTGGAGACAATCGGTAGTTGAGCCACTGATGCGCCATCGATTGGGTCATGCTAGGGCAATATGGGAGAAATTTGAACGCTAATGGGGTCGATTGATCTGCCTTGTAGGTACTCCTAATGGGGCAGGAGTGGTACCTCCAGGAAGGTTGGCTCTATGCCCCCGTAAAGTTGCATCAGAGGATCGTGACATGATGGCAATGGCTTAGGGAGGACAATTTCCAGCAGGGGACTGATCATGGGTGATGGTGATAATGAAACAAAAAAAATCTACGATATTTTTGCAATTGCACTGTTATTATTTATTTATAAATGTGAAAACACCTTCTTTATTTTGTGTTTTTCATTTATATAGAGCTTATGTTATTCATGCCACAGATCTCTCAGTGTCTCGACTTAATTGGGTCTCGGTCAAGTTGGAGAAATTAAATCCACACCCCAGATTAACACGGTTAGCGACGTATGGTGCCTACAAATGGTATCCTATTTTCTGAAATCTAATTTTATATTAAAATGTCGAGCACAGATGATAATAGCAAATGGTAAACATCTCAAATGTACATTTCACATTCACGTAAATTCTGTTAACATCGCCAGACCTGAAAATACAAAACCTCATAGTGTTACATTTAGAAATCACGCCTTGAAATGTGAACAATGGAAATAATCGTGAAATCTGAGATTCTATCTAAAACACTCATGCCTTATTAATAGGCCATACTTTTTACAACAGGTATACAGAGCCCTCTCAAAAGAAATACCACTTATCATATTTTGAAACTAACATACCTTGGGTAAATCCATTCACTAACATTTGCAACCTGGGATGTTAATGGCTTGCCTCATAGACCATCCATCTCCACAATTAACTCACCTCCCAGTTGAATGACGACTAACATTCCACGCAGCTGGTGTCGAGATAGCCTTGAAGTCAACGTCCCGAACGACGACGACATCGTTTCGATTCCCGCAGTGACCTCTGTGGGGGACATTGCCAGAGCGTGGACATTTAAGAGCCCGTGACGCAATTTTCAAGAGCAGGCCACTCTTGTTCCGTCTTCTTTGCAGATTGAAAAAAAAAAAATTTACTCTCACCAAAATTACAAAATCTAAATTACAAAACCTGTCCTGCTGTGCCTGGCCCAATGAGCCCATCACCTCGGCAGAGCCCCTAGCCCCGTGCTGGGGACCGGTGGCGCTCCCGCGTGCTCCTCTTCAGCGACTGCTCACTGCCCGGCGTTGCCTCGCCCACCCTCGACGCAGCAGGGCAGCACGGCTGTGACGATGCGTCGATTCACCGCTCAATCTTGAGTCTCCAAACCGTTGTGCCTTAGAAACGAACGTGGTTGATTCGTACACGTTGAGGCCGCCTAGAATTAATTATTCACCGCGGATTTTTTTCTTTTCTTAAATCAAACCTCGACCGTGGATGGTGACGATTCATGGAATTTGTTGTCAGTAAAGCGTCGTTGCACGCCTAGAGAACAACCCCAGAACTAGTCGACAACTCGACACCGCTGTTGGCACCATCTGCATCCGTCTCCTCACCGCGTAACGCATCTCCCAGCCGCCGAGGGCTCAAAGTGTGGAGCTTTGGTGCAATGCATGGCGCGTTCACCCTCCCTGCTCTCTGAGCGCGTATCCATCGCCCGTCACCGCTGCCCCTGCATGTTGCCTACCCCGGGCGCTCGCTCGCTCTTTCACGCTACAACAGAGATGATTGCACAATATTCTGCCTCTCATTAATATGTTTTCTCCATGTGCAATACGTTGCGTGGTTCATTTAACACTCGATAAACAATATTCAGTTATTACTGAATCACTATGACCGTGCCCAATTCTCGTCAGACATCAGAAGCTAAGCGGGGTACAAGCTGGATCTTGTTTGGATGGGTGACCGCCTCGCTCGTGAAGGGCGGCAGAGAGCAGTACAGCAGCAGTATCAATTGTACTGGAGCTTTTGTGCTGCCACGCCTATGTCCCCTTGCTATCGCTGTCCCGCTCTGACCAGCGTGGCGAAGTATGGTCAAATAAGACCCATTTGTCCACACACCGTGAGGAAGCCCTTATCCAGCAGTAGGTTGACAGCACTGTGCATGTTCAAAGAATAATTGCAATGGATTGGCTGCTCACCACTCTCTCTTGCTTCCATAGACGAAATCTCAGCAACATGGGCCTTGTGTCTGATTGGTTTAGACAATGTGTGACAGCAGCAGCAGTCGCTGTTGTTATTCTGTTGAGCCCGATGGGCAACTCCAAAAAGCAATCTCCGCCTCCACTTATTGGCAATGAATGTAAGCACAGGTTTACAAACACATCCCAGATGCTGGCCTACGATTACTGCACACTGGCTTGTTAAACATTTTATCTACGCCACAAAATACGTCCATTCTGCTTGCTCCGTGCATTTTCATGCCTTTAATAGGTTCCATTGATGATCCCCCGCCTGAATCAAATGTTCACGTAAACTGAATACAATTTGCATTGTGTGTCTTGGAGAATGTACGTGTGGTGCCGCGACCACGGAGCAACTCCGCGAACGCCGCGATTCCCTCCCGGCCTCCACCCTGAGCACTTGCGCAGCACTGCACCCACGTAGTGTCCTAGCAGGGGGGGGGGGGGGAGGTTGCCTGGCACATCGGGTTTTAATCTGCAGGGCCCCTAGAGGGAGAGTCCCGCGGTTTCCCGGTGCCAGGAGATTGGCCAACCCCCACTGGACAGGTGACATTGCGGTGACACTAAATTGGCTTAAAATTGTACGGGCGCAGAAGGAAAAAGTTCACTGGGCCAACCGCGATGAGTTATTCACGACATTGGGGGAGAGGCTGAGGGTGGAATATTAGGCAAGAAGGGCAGATGAGTAGGTTAGAATGAATGAGCACGGGAGAGCAATGGGTGGGCGGAGCAGCAGCACACTCCGTGGCACTCCACTTTGAGGGCGCAGGTAAGCGCACGATGGGCTGCGCAGTATGACGTCACCCTGGGCCTTTGAAGTTTATAGAATAAAAATGGGGGCCCCGGACGATTTCCGGTCTCTTGCCTTCAACCTCCGGGCCGTCGAGACCCACCCCCAGCCGTCCTGCCTCTTCAGGCCACTCACAGCAATCGTGTGATGCCAGCGAGCGCTGCGTCGAGGTACGTGGTAGGACGTTTGTGTAACTGGGTTCATAGAGTTCGGCTCGGCTCTTCTCGCGAAATATCCCTCCTCCGGGTAGGGTGTAATTGCGCCATTAATAAACTTTTGTTCAGAGAAAAAAAAGAAATTCTCTTTTGATTAGCGCCGGCCTCTGTGTAAAGCACGCGCCGGCAGGGGCGGTTGCGTGCACGCCACCGCGTTCGTTTTCCGTGGTGGTGGTGGACGTGGGCGTGTGGGGGATAACCCCGGGCGGTGGTGAGCCAGCCGAGTAGCGATGTCCCTCAGGGCGCTGGCGCGGTGGGGGGGGGGGGGCGATCACCCGATCGGTGGGGGCCCGGCGAGAGGCGGCCGACGAGGAGGAGTGGAGGGGGTGGACGTCGCGCCCCGCCCGCTCACAGGGAGCGGGGAGGCGGGCGACAGCCCCCCACATTCGCTCGTATGTCCGTCCCTATATCTGTGCTGGTGGCGGCATAATTGCAGAAGTAAAGTGAGCATGATGGGCTAAACTGGTCGATATTTTTGCAGCCAATGTAATAATTCACAATGGGCTTTTGGGTAAGGCCACGTCCTGTAATGATCAACATTATTTGTAGATCACCACCATCCAACGGCCAAACGAGTCGTCCAGTGTTCAAGTATTTGACGCGCTGGTTATTCTTGTTTCAGCTCATCCAGTGAGTTGAAGAACAGCCAGATTTATCAGTTGAGACGAATTGTTGTGAGGATTGTGGGACCCTTCCATCCATAGCGTGTCTGTCCCCGCTAATTGCACATTCGCATACATACGCACGTGTAGATAGCTCTGTGGGTGGGGATTGCATCGTTGTCAGGACGCTGTGACAGAATCCCCACGCTCGACCCGTCAACTCTGAGCGGCTGCTGTTCGTGGAGCAGACTTTGCTGTCCACCCATTCCATTGGGCCAGGAGAGTACTCTGACCAGCTCATTAATAGCAACAACAACAAAAAAACAAATCAAAGTAGGGAAGGAACTTTATTTCGTTGTAAAATCCACTGGTCATAACTCGAAGCTCACAATGGAATCTTGCGCTCCCCTTAATGACTTGGCATACAAAGTTAAAAGTATCGCAAATGTTACATCCTTCATTTACACAGGCGATGGAATCCCGTCAGCCCATTGACACAAAATAAGTATTTTATAAAGCGAAAAGGAAACCACTGTACATTAAAAAAAACTACACTCAGCAGTATCGAATCGAAATCAAATCTAGACTGTAAAAAAACACACAACGTTGAAAACGACTGCAGCACTCACACGAAAAATGAAATGGAGAACAAACTACGATCAAAGCCAATAATGTCACTCACGGTGTAAGTAACATCCAGTCAAACTACAGAACAATGAACAAAGCTAGGTTTTCCAGCTGGAATTAATAGCCCCGAATTCCACATTGTTGGTGCATCGCCTCTCTTGCCAGGGTCACGCTGACGCCGGTGTTGGATTTGCAGCATTGACAGCGTCCACGTGAACAAAGTGCCTGCTTTAACAAAGTAGCGACGGTCTGTTTAACTCGGCTAAAAGAGCATCACCATGAGATCACACGCGGTTAAATGAAGTGCTTTGAATTGATTGGTTGTAAATGTGTTTAAGTCGTGCAGCTGCACAGATATGCAGCAAATGTAATTGAAATGAACTTCATTGGCAGTGGATTTCCATGGCCAAAATACCCTGGGCTCTCTGCTACAACGTCGGATCGATACTCGCAGGCTGGAGTGTGATTCTGCTGCTGTCAGGTTCCTCTGTGGAATGACTCCCATGAGTCCGATTTAAATGTCTAAACTCCTTTTAATCAACCTGCATTCAAACCCATTGTAAACGCAGCGGTAGCTTGAAGCATTTGTAAGATGTGTGGTGGCGTCTGGAACGCACGCCATAGCCAGGTGCTCGCTTGATTACGTTTGTGGCATTGCTTTGCAAGGCCCCTTGCACACTTCGACGGGGATATTTGGGCCAATTCAACAGTTAGAAAAAATACACGAGGCCAATTCCAAATGGTTATAGAGGATGTGTGCACAAAACGCTGTCCTCAACTGCAAAGTGCAACAGGAACCTGGCCGTGATGTTTTGCAAGTCGAGACGACGTCTCGTCCTTGCGGATACGTGGCGCACAGCAGTTCGCGGTGACTGCAATACCTATAGAGCTAAGATGGCGCCACTATTAGTTAGGGGGTTAGGGGGGTCTCGGGTGGTGTTGTGTTCACACCACCTGGGTGTGTTCTCACCGCCCGGGTGAACACAACACGGGTCCACCCATCCCCCATGGCGACGCGCTTTGGCAGTCTATGAATTTGTCCAGATTTAATCGACTAAACATTGACATTAACGAAAAAAAGATGTATTCACCAGCATCGATTCAAGCAAGCCTGGCCTTGCTTATGAGCCATTGTATGCATAGGATGCCACGATGGCGAGATGTTAACTACCTCGCCTGATATACAGGAGGTCGTGGGTTCGATGCTCACCCTGACATCTGTATATTTGGAGTTTGCATGCTCTCCCCGTGGGCGTGTGTGTTTTTCTCTGGGTCCTCCACATTAAGCACCACGCGTTTAGAGTATTTGGCCGCTATAAATTTCCACGCGATAAGCCACTTCGTTAATCTATCATTTGTGGCCAGGTCGCTTCTAAAAAAAAGAGCTATATAGCTGGTAACATAAAAATAGTAACACAAATAGTAGATCGAAACGGGTGCAGAGTTTTCTTGTATTGAATAAATGCTGATGAAATTGTGCACTCCCACAAGACCGTGTGGCTGATGGCTTGTGTAATAACTACTCTTATGTTTGCGTGAACCGACAGAGGTATGAAGGAGACAATGTCTTCTTATCTAGTATTTTACATTCTCCAAAATTACTCGAAGGATTGTTTGAGCTCATTGTTTTACGATCGATCGGGCGGGTGGGCGGGCTCCTTTAAAATTGCCGGCTGCCCAAGCAATGTTTTTCCTCCCTAAGAGGGGGAAGTGTCAGAGCCGGGCCTCTGGGGCTCCCCGTCCCCTTCTGGGAGAGTCCAGGAGGAGACAGTTACAGCTGTGAGCGGTAACTGATCTAACCCTCGTGTGGGTTTCTTGTTGACATCGATTTTGTTCCTTCAACTATGGGCCACGTCTATTCATCTTTGACCTCAATTACGTTGGGAACGATTAATAGACGTCGCTGCAGTAATGGTGCATCAGTTGGGCTTATTATTATAATTGGGCTGGAGCTGTGGTGCACAGAGGTGCATGCGATGCGCTGTGACGAACACAGTGACACGAGTTCAACTCCTGGCCACGGCTAACAGCAGTGAACTCTGAACTGGTTCTGAGCCACCCCCTTCAGTTTCAAACACACAACACACAGACACGTGTCTTGTTTAGAGTGCTCTTTGTTGCTGACCGCTTAACGTTTTAGGCCTTGTGCTCCACGAGGTGGTTGAATTTTTTTCAAAACGGCCACGGAAATGGTTAGACGTCGTTCTGGGGTGCAGCAGGGACACAACTGCACGCACACTCGACTCTTGAGAGACGGTCACTGGTCTGGGGACCGTCCACTCGCCACACCAGACGCCCGGTTCCACCACAGGCCGTTGCCTGGATTCAAGCCCAGGATTCTCAGCGGCACCAATTCAGCATTGAGTTCTGCGCAACCCAGCAATGTCAACATTGGTATTCATGAGTGGGAGTAATTTCACCGACGTATGTTTGGGACTTGGCTGATCGGAACCAATGTCAGGCAAAGAGGTAAGCTGTTCTTTTTTTGCCTCTGCATGTGGACATATGAATAGCGAGCATAGATAAAGCGTTCATCGTAAAGGGCGAGACCGCGTTGAATGTGGCGTATGCATAACGGTGACTACCGTCGTGGAAAATGTGCCTGACCTGGCTCGTGCCATTGCATGCTTCTACCTTTTCAGGGAGTGGGATGGGGGGAGGGGCGAGCGATGGACGCGCCGTCTGGACTGCGCTGTGGCTGTGCGGACTGATGCAGGTTCTTCTGTGCACCTGGAGCGGAGGAGGCCTCTAAGCAGCTCCACCCAGGAGGCCGTGGCACACAAAAGGAGCCACATCTACCAGCACCCCCCTATCACAACTTGCACCGCGCTCAATGGACTCTTAACCCACATTAAAAGCACTCATTGCCATCGGCGGTTCTACATGAAGTATACAGTGTGTACGATTCATTGATAGTGTAACGTTTTGAGTTTGCTGATATTTTGCATATTAGTCCCATTTCAGATGTTTCATTTGCCAGTGCCACCGGAGATGGCAAAACCTAGTTGTGCTTTTTTGAAAAGGTCTGTGCCACAGGCGATGATATTTGGATGTGAAATCTACCGGGAGGGCATCGCGTGTGGTGAACCCACTTTGGCCAGTGGAGTCAATCCGTCTGGAGTGGTTTGAACTTGCGCGCCAACTCGCGGACAGTTAAGGCCACTGGGGGTGTATGAGCGCTTGCATCAGCGTGACATCGGAGTGAGCGCGCCAAGTCAGCTGGCTGGGTAGGCGAAGGGTTTTGGTGCTCGCCGCCCGCTGGCTAGGCCTCGGCAAGGTAAGGTAAACGGTAAAAACAACGAGCCTACCTTTACCCTACCTTTTATCCCTACCCCATACAAATTACCCGATTACAGGGTAATTACTGGGGTACTACTACACATGAACAAGGTTTGTAACAGGTAAATGCTAGGTCGAGCGCTTTATTCATATAGAATACTCTCGATGATTCCAATTTAAAATGGAGGCCACGGACTGCGCCATGAAGCTTTTAGCGAGCGGTAAACAAAGTATTTACCGGGTAATTCTTCCACGCTACCTTTACCCTACCCTTTACCTTACCCCTTGGCATGTCGACACCTTTACCCTTTTACCCGGTAAAAAGGGTAAATGACCTTACCTTGCCGAGGCCTACCGCTGGGTGACGCCGCTGGGGATTTTTCTGACGCCTGGGACGTCACTTGAAGTGCAGGTGAATGTGTTCTAAGTGAGATAGCGCATGTTTTAAGTTTACATTATATCCAACAATTATAATATAGATAACGTAACCTTTTTGTATCTCCACATGACATTTGTTGAGCCCGATTGGCCTGCCAGTCTTCTAGACATGAAGCAGCATGGTTTGAACAAATACACGACCAGCCTAGACGAGTGGGCTCTTGGTGGAGCATCACGTTGGCAGCTCTGGGTTGCGATATCCCCGTCTCGGTGTTAATCTGGGCAATTTGGTCGTGTACGCCTCCTCTCCCCGGAACGGTCACGTTTAGTTTTGGGGCTGGCTGCCCCAATTGGAGTCGCTCGCTTTCGGGGCTAACGAGTGCAACCTGCCCCGCTATTTAACCCATAACTCGGTCGTCATTGCCAATGCTCTCCCTGGGGGGGACGCTGTCCCTGGGGGGGGGGGGGGGGGGGCTGTCCCGCTCCGAGAGTCTCTCTGCAGGCTGAGGCCGTCCGCTCGTGGAGGGCGGCGGAGGCCACCACAGTTGACGACACGCGGAGGCCAAGAGGCTGCCCTGTGCCAACGGGACACCGCTGGCTCACGGCCTCGTTTTCACGTCGGTGCCAGGGGGCTTTGTGGCGATGTCTGCAAGCAAGAAAGAGCGCCATTGTGACGACGGCTCTTTGGACGCATTGCGTCACACGGATAATCCAGTGCCATGCGAGCATTGGGACCTTTCACATTCTCCCAGGTCTTTGCGTGTTCAGGTTGGCGACCAACGTATTTAATGGCGATGGCCATGCCGCTAAATATTGTCCTCGCTTCTGCCGGATAATGCAGCTGTAGAGCGGATACCCTGCCTTCACGGATCTCCTCTAACAGTCTCAACGTGTCGCTTTCGGATGTGCCCGTTGCGGTTGGCCTCTGGGTGGCCACTGCATTCGATGAATAATTATTTGACATTGAAATGAAAACGTCACATGGGTGGCAATGTTGATATTTGCTCCGTCCTTTGTGCCACTGCTTCGGTGTCATTCATTGCCGCTCTTCGCCTTTGCACCGTCTCGCTTGCCCCCTTCGCTACCTTTGCTCTCCAGTGAAGAAGTGCTGCCCTCTAGTGCACACTTTGGCTTCCGTCACCTGAAATTACAGTTGAGTACCGTGTCTTGATTTCACGCAGACTTTGATACTCACTCGGCAGCAGTGTTAGTTGGTGAGCACACGACGTTTCGTGGCTTGCTCGCAGTGCCATTTCTGCTAGGCTCGTGCACCCAACGCGTGTCCCATTCCTTTAGGGCTCCCATAACACGATGTAACACAATCTTTGTCCCTGGGTAGTGTTATTTTCCAAGTGCTTATGCCTCAAAAGTACAGAAAATGGCTATTCCCCACAAACTTTGCTTTTGTGACCAGGGCTTTACGTGAAGGAATGATACAAATGCACACCACATTTTCTCATTGCAAAGAAGTACATTTCAAAATATCACTGTCCTGGTCCCAAAAGCAAAGTTTGTGGGGACTAATAGCCATTTTATATACTTTTGAGGCATAGGCAATTGGAAAATAACACTTACTACCCAGGAACAAAAAACAATTTGTTACACAGTGTTATCCTTAATTCTGCCACCCCTCATTGTCTTTGTGTCTCTGTCTCTCTCTGTCTGTTTCACTTTGTTTCTGCCTCCATGCCTCTCTCAACATCTCCTTCTCGACGAGTCTGCCTCTCTCTGTTTCAAAACGTCAGTGTCTGCCTACATCTGTTGATGTGTCTCTCCACGTGTCCCTCGTGTTTGTTCCCAAGTCTGTCTCCAGTCTCTGGATGTGAGCGGCCCACTTACCCCAACCAAGTCTGCTTCTGGCCCCTCCGAGTGGTGAGGTGGCTCTTACCGCTGATTTGTTTTGCATGGTTTCATCCTCATTGAGTTATTCAGCCCTTAGGAATATTAAACTAAATTGATGCGTGTAGTTGAGCGGAGCGGTGCTTACATGGACGCCGGCTTCACACGAATCAATATCCATAACCGAACTTGGCGTTGGTCACGTGTAAATAGATTTTTTAAAGATTGAAGGTTTTAACAAAAGGGTACGCTACTTAGCTGGTACTGCTTATCTACAACAACAACAAAAGCTTTTAATTGATGTACAAAACAATTTGATAATACTGTACTTAGCCAACGTGTACATTTCTGGGTGTTGCATGACGTGTTTGTAAACTGGAACGTACACGTGGCATGTGGCATGGCTGGGTGCGAGGAAACCGCAATGCAGACGTCTCCTCCCGAGAGGTGTAATGATGCTTTCCATGCCCCGAGACGCGTCCATTCTCGCAGCACGTGCATTGAATCGTGCGTGTTAACAATCGATGCGTGTTGGTGCATTCGAATGCTAAATGCAAATTGTACCTGCATCCCACGCACATCCGAGTGTAAGCGCGCCAAGCGAACTTGTGCGAACGAGACGGCGGGGAAACTTAATCTGAATACAAAAATCGAGAGGAGAAAATAATGGATTATTTCAATAAATAGTGGCCCTGAATCGTGACAACTCATGGGGTCATGGGGGAGGGCTCGCATCGCTGAACTCGCTGGTGCCGAGATGGGCGGTAATCATTGGTGGCAGGCGAAGGAATCCGCTAAACTGCACGCATATGTTGTACAAATGCCGCGTGTGTATTACTGTGGTTGGGTATTGTCAGTTGATGATAATTATTTTACTTGAAAAAGTGTGATATCACGAAAGGTTATTTTACCTTTTTGCTCGGTATAGGTTTCTCATTTAACATATATTAATCAATACCCATTCATGCTGGCTAATGTGGAGTGCAGTGTGCATAATAAACAAGCATGTTTATTTTTTTCTTCTAATGGATGTTTACGTGCCTACTTTTTTATACCACAGGAGGTGATACAGGTAGGAACAACAGGTTCCACACTGCCCACCAGGGATTATTTGTCTGTCGTGCATCGGAATGCAGCCCACCCATGCCCCCCCCCCCACCGACCGCCGAGCAGGGCCACGATTGGTTGAGGATGTCGGGGAGGGTGGGGGGAAGGTAACCACGCCCAATCATCCAACTCCCCCCCCCCCCCCCAAACGCCGAGCGGGGCCGCCATTGGTAGAGGTGGGGTGTAGACACGCCCACTCATGCAATCCCCTCCCCACCGAACACCGAGCTACGCCGCGATTGGTTGACGATGTCGGGGAGGGTGGGGGGGAAGGGTAAACACGCCCACTCATCCAACTGCCTCCCCCCCCCCGAACGCCGCGCTGTCCAACCAAGTTCCTACCTGCCCCCTCCGAAGGAACGTGTTACATAGGGACACGTGTGTGAACGTTGTAGTAAGATCGCGAGCTGCCTTTGCGGTGCAACATCTCTCCTGGGATACAGGAGGAGGTCGTGGGTTCGATCCCAACCCTGACGCCTGTTTACAGTATTTGGAGTTTGTATGTTCTCCCGGTTATAGCGTGGATTTTTCTCAGGATCCTCTGGTTTTTCCCTCCACATTTAGAAACGTGCGATTAGAGTATTTGGCTGGTATAAATGTCCACATAAACCACTTCGTTGAGCTATCATTTGTGGCCAGGTTGCTTCTGAAAAATAACTATATAGTTCAGCCTGCCTTGCCTGCTAAAATAAAACATAGTTTACAAATAATTTAGTTTTCAGAGATAAAACTCCGTAAGGGGAGAGCTTGTTTGTTTTCGCTACAGGATTCAAACACGCCTCTATAGAAGGACTGAATGCTGGGGTACCCCCCCTGGTGAGACACTGCTTAACCAATACATACTTCACCTGGAATGGAACTTTCTACAAGCAAACTGAGGGCACCCCAATGGGCTCCCCCCTATCTCCGGTTGTAGCCAATATCTTCATGGAGAAATTTGAGACTGACGCCATCAAGACTGCCACTCTACGCCCGACCTTATGGAAGAGGTACGTAGATGACACTTTTGTCATCTGGCCACATGGCCGGCCTGCTCTAGACCAATTTCTCGACCACATCAATTCCATACACCCAGCCATCAGATTCACCATGGAAGTCGAAAATGATGGCAAGCTACCCTTTTTGGATGTCCTAATCAAAAGGAGACCTGATGGTTCAATGAGCCACTCTGTCTACAGGAAAGCCACCCATACGGATGCTTACCTAAAACCGGATTCCCACCACCATCCATCCCAGAAGAATTCCCTCATCAAGACTCTATACCATAGAGCCCAATGCATTTCCGACCAGGAACACATTGGCAGTGAACTCAAACACGTACGCCAAGCTCTTAAGGCTAATGGTTACTCCGACTACACAATCCGCAAGGCCATCACTCCAACCATCAAGAAGGATCCTGTTGAGGAGCCTTTCAAGACCATCACCTTACCCTAGATTGCTGGGGTCACAAAAAAGATCTCCAAAATCCTGATTAAACACAAGATCCAGGTCCGATTCAACACAGTACATAAAATCCGTGATCTAGTCCCGTCTGTAAAAGATGTGGTTCCAGACATACAGTACCCTGGCGTCTACAAACTAAGTTTCCTCTGTGGTAGCAGTTACATTGGAGAAACCAACCGACATGTCTCGGACCGCATCCGTGAACATAAAGCAGACCTGAAACACGGTAGGACAAACACCTCGGCCGTGGCAGATCACTATTACAACTCAGTGGGCTCACATGACATTGACTTCTCCAAGACAGAGGTTCTCTGCAAGCCATCTGGCTATCATGAGAGATTCGTTCATGAGGCGATCCACATATACAAACACAGAGACAATTTCAACCGAGAAGATGGATTCTGGCTTAGCAATCATTGAAAGGACGTAATAAACCATTTCGGATCTTAACTGATTGTGTTCACGTTTACGGTGACTTTCAGACCGTGTTCTACTCACTGGCATGGTGCAGTGTGCAGAGTAATGTATGGTGTCGTAATTGTATAGTAAATATATAGCAGTGTGATACACATTAGGGTGGGTAGAATAATACATAGTGTTATATTAAAATGGATAAGGCAGCAACTGCAGCAGCAGCAGCAACTGCAGCAGCAACTGCAGCAGCAGCAGAAACTGCAGCAGCAGAAACTGCAGCAATAGCAGCAGCAGCAACTGCAGCAGCAGCAACTGCAACTTCCTTTGATGCTGTTAATCCTGCATAATGCACATGCATATGTAGTACTAATCACATTCCTGCATTTCTCATAAATATGCTAAATTCCTCTTGATATGCAAATTCCTTTGTCAAGGCGCCCAGCTTATATATATGCTCCAAGCTCGTGTGCTGTTTCATTCAGACTCTGTCGCCTCGACGGACCTGGTTTTCACCTGAGGACGGCTGCTTGCGTTGTGGCCGAAACGTCGTGAGAATAATTTTATTATGGTTTATTTTTATTATTTTATTATTTCCCTTCTACGTGACTTTACCGAAAGAACCAAGAGGAAGAAGGCAGTTCCTCTTTTTTTAATAAAGCTC